AAGGACGAAATTGCTAGAAAGCAGTGCACAGGACGATGCTTCAGTGGTGTTGATGCCCAGTGAGGTCCTGGGGCCCCCTTCTGGGAGCATCCCCTGTACCCAGCTGGAGGTAAGAACTCACCAAGCCCAGCATACAGCGCAGCCCAGCAAATATTTATACAACACTGTTCCCTGGCCAGCCAAGCCAGCATCCCACACACGCCAGGCCACGTGCAGGGCCACAGCCATGACCCACGGGATGTCCCTGATGAGGAATGACTTCATGAGCCTGCTGGGACAGGGCATGGGGTCATCCTGAATTATCCGAAGTGGAGCAAGGGGCGATCGAGGGAAGGGAGCAGACTCCAGTGCCGGTCCTGCTTGGAGCAGGAGGAGGGCGGCCGCTCCCCTGCTGCTCCTGGGGAGCTGAGCCAAACATCTGCTCCCGCCTACGGGCTGTGCCGAGCCCGAGGAGCGGCGAGGAAGCCGGAGCCAGGCCAGCCAGAGCGCGGCGGGTGTCAGCTCCAGAACATCCCTCCTGGGAGGATGCTGCTGGCAGCCCCCAGCCCTGCTTTTGCGGACCACAGGCTCTGTAGAGCTTGGTTGCCAGCATCATCATCAGTGACCAGGGACAGTGTCTGGGGTGTGCCATGGGCTAGATACATGTGCCCTGCTCCCAATTCCAAAAGCTGCTGCCTCATCTCCATTTCATGCCCAAGAGCAGAGTCAGGACTCATGAGGCTCACAAGGGTGCAGATGCTGCCACTGCTGTGGTGGGATGCAATGCTGCCTCCCTTTCTACCTCCAACAGATAGGATGCAAAAGGACATCCTGAAATCACAGCAGTCTCAGGACTGAAAAAAGATTCCCCCAGGGGTTTGGAAGCCCCAAGGGACATGCAGAGCCCCAGGGACCGGCTCCAGAGCTATGCCCCCACACCACAGCACTGCAGCGCACGCAGACCATCACTGCTCCTGCAGCTACAGCAGCAGAAGGTGCTGACTCAGCAGCCAGCCACAGGCACCCTCTGCACCCCATGAGCTCCCAACTGCAGCAAAGTCTTGCAGTATCCCACTCATTCCCACCGTGACCCAACTGGCCCTAGAGAACACCCAGGGACTGAGCCACTACTCAGGACACACCACACCAGGTCAGGTTCTGGACACACATAGCACAGGGGGAAACACACCAACATGCAGCCATCCTGTGGTGGCACTGGCACTGCTCAGACATGCAGGACATGGCCAGAACAAAATCAGGTCAAACCTGACTTGCACATCCCACTCCATACTCCTCACCACTGCCTGGCTCACGTGCAGGTCTGCACACGAAGGCACCCATGCTGTGGCTATGCAGACAGAGATGTCCCTGGGGAAGCTCCCGGTGGAGTGACCTTGGTGGGGTTACGTCCAGTGTTCAGGAAAAAACCCCAGCCTGGATGGGACTGGCCTCAGGGCAGGGAACATCAAGTGGCCACTGAATGGTGGCGAGTGGGAACCAGAGTTGTCCAAGGAAGGGAATGAATACGTTTTAGTGTTGGAGGAACAACCCAAGACTGGGTGCTATCTCTGCCCATATCCTGCCCAGGCCCCAAGGACAGGCAGGAGAGCAGCAGCATCCCTTCCATCCCTTCAGTCACCCCTGACACGTCTTGGCAGGTGCTCCCTGTGCCAGGTTCCTGCCCTGATGCAGCGCACAAGGAGGATATGGTAACATTGAGAACAAAAGGACCAAAGGACCATTGAGAACAGAGGACCAAAGCCAGAGCTTTCCAGACCCTGAAACCAGCATCAGGTAGAGAGGAGTAGCAAGTGTCATGACGATGGATGCAGGCACAGCTCTGTGAGGAGCCAGGATGCTGGTACACTTGGCTAACACAGGAATACTGCTGGGGTCTTGGGTGTCTCCAGCCAATCCCTGCTCAAACCTGACCATCCCATTCCCTTCCTGAGCTGAACCTCAAGTCCCCCACAGAATCCTCGGCTGGGCTCACCCCGAACTCCACCCAGCTGAATCCACCTCAATACCTTGTGGGCAGTCCCCTTGCCCCGGCCTGTCTCACCTACCTCGGCCCTTGCTCCTTGCAGTCTGCGTCCCCGCCGAACCACGGCAATGTCGGGAGGCATCTCACAGCCCCACAGCCCTCCAACAGGGCTGTGTCACCGCGTCCTCTGAGTCGTCTCTGACCTACTGCCCTACAAGCTGGGGCGTGCGCCGGCGCCGTGCAGGGGACGCTGCCCCGCGGCCCGGGCTGGGGGCTGCTGGCCCCATCTGCAGCACGCAGCTCCTGCCCGGTGCATTAGCAGCACCGGGAGATGGGGCCTGGGGCGGTGCTGGCTTTCTAGGTCAGAGCCAGCGAGGAGGCTGCATGAGGGGCTGCGCTGGGTGAGGGGATGTGCTGGGTGAGGGGATGTACTGGGTGAGGGGCTGTGCTGGGTGAGGGGATG